GGATCCAATCGCAGAGGCGTATGGAACCTTCATCATGAGTTCCTTTTGCTCGGGAGTAGAAGGACTCTGGCTCTTGGAAAGAACCGTGCCAGGTGTCATAGGTAAAGATCCTTTCTTTGAGTTAGACATGCTAAATCGATCAAGGATTTTATCTATATATGTACTTTGATTTAGACCTATTAACTTTCTTGATCTATCTTGGTAGATTCTTATGCCAAGGACATAACTAGCATCCCCTAAGTCTTTCATGGAGAAGTTCTCGCTCAACCACATCTTTACAGAAGTGAGAGCGGGAATATCGTTACCCATTAACAATATGTCATCGACATACAAGATTAGGAATACTATTACACTCCCACTGACCTTCTTGTATACACAAGATTCGTCAGATTTCTTCTTGAAACCAAAACTGGAAATGGTTTCGTCGAAACGTATGTACCAACTCCGAGATGCTTGTTTCAGTCCGTAGATTGAACGTTGCAACTTACAAACTTTGGCAGACTGACCAGCAATTTGAAAACCGTCAGGCTGTGTCATAAAAACATCCTCTTTGAGGTTCCCGTTAAGGAAAGCCATTTTGACGTCCATCTGCCAAATTTCATAATCGTAATAGGCTGCAATCACGAGCATTATCCGAATGGATTTCAGCAACTGGAGAAAAGGTTTCATCATAGTCAATTCCGTGGATTTGTCTATAACCTTTTGCTACCAATCTAGCTTTGAAGGTATGAACCTTCCCGTCTACGTCTGTCTTCTTTTTGAAGATCCTCTTGCATCCAATGGGTTTTACCCCTTCGGGTGCATCAACCAAGGTCCAGACTTGGTTTGTGTACATAGACTCCATTTCAGATTTCATGGCTTGGAGCCATAGATCGGATTCGGGGCATGTAATTGCCTCGAGGTAGGTCTCTGGTTCGCCTTGATCTACCAACAAGACGTCACCTTCATCAGACATGAGAAATCCATATCTGACCGGAGGATTACGTATCCGGTCTGACCTACGTGGTATATCTTGAGCAATTTGAGGTTCAATTGCTTGATCTCTTTGCTCAGGTTCCAAC